GGTGCACACGTGCAGTTAAGGGATCCCTGCGCAGTGGTTGCAAAATGATAACCCGTTGGGTAGCCATGCGGAGGGCCTGGAGGGAGAAGTACACGCGGCTACGATGGAGGGAGCTAAGGAAGTGATGCCCTAAATCATACGCAGGGTCAGGGGCAGTCGGGGGCGCGAGGGGCTTGGACACAGAGAAGTAACCTGCCCGAAGTGAAGCAGCGGGTGCCTGGGTCCTGGGGCTTCGGAGGGGCGGACCCGCGAACTTAAAGACGTGTGGCGCTCAGGTGCCAGGCAGCGGGGTGACAGGTGGGGGCGACGGCGGCCCCTGGAAAAGCTTCTGTGGCCAGGCGGCGGGAGGCAGCTTTGAAATCGCACGAAAATCGAAGTAGTGCGCCCCCGCTGACTGCCGTCGAGTTTGCAAGCGGACCTGACCCGAGGAAGAGGTAGGAGGGGGGAAGGGGCCGTGACTGCTCAGCGTTAGCTGCTTGCACCAGGGCCTTCACTTGCTTCACGCGCGGGAGAAACAGCTTGCTCTAAATTCAAGGCGTCCGCCAGGGTTTCAACCACTCGCTCCCGTATGCCGCGTGCCTAGATCAGCTTGGTGCTTTCAAAATATTAGGAGGAGATGGAGGCAAGTTTTCTTGGCCCTTCGGTTCTCTCTCTCTCTCTCTTTTTTTTTAGAACAGGCCTAGTTATAAAAATAGTATCTGAGGAAATAGTTGCATGTTTCATGTGATACTTGAAAATCACAATTGCGTTCTACCCCTTAACAAATACTTTTTGAGTTCATTGCGGATTTCTGTTTTGTTGTTTTTTGTTTTGGTTTTGTTTGTATCTTGCCTAGACATTGTCCTCGCTCCCCCCTGAAACTTGAAAAAAAGCTCAAGAACTTCAGGGTAATGCCTGTGTGTGTGGTGCCTGCCCTCTGAAAAGCTGAGCTGTAACTTTCAGTAGGAGGGACCATGCAATGTGCTGAAACCATTCGATCTAAATGGAAGCCGCCTGCATAATTGCAAAGTGTGCGTGATTCGCGTTGTGATTAGTGGGTATTTCACCTGGAAAGGCAAAGGGGAGGGTTCATGGCCATAATTTTGAATCCCATATTCTTCCTCAGCCCCACAAAGTAGGTTCCTTCCCCACATAGTTTGGGATTATTATTTCACAGAGAACGTTAATTTTCGGACTGAAAGTAATTTAGACTGAAATGGAGTAATCACTGTTTTCCTGAATGTTGCCTCCTGTATTTTTCATCCTAAGGTAGCACTGAGCTATCATAGAAGGAGCCAAAGGAACCTTTTGAAGTTACCCTTATAGAGAACACGTCCAGCAGGGAGCAAGCATGCCTGCAGAAGGAGGGAAATCTGATATGGAGAGGATTGGCCTCTTCAGTGAAATGGAATATGTAACTGTTGGCGATAAATATGTGTCACAGTATAACAGTAAGTATATTTGGTTTTCTTTCACAGCCTAATAGTGGACAATTTCTCTATGAAAATTTGGATTTAATATTTAAGTTAAATTTTGTTAAAAATTTATTTATTTGAGAGGGAGAGAGAGAGAGGAGAGAAAGAAACATCAATTTGTTTTTCCACTTATTTCTGCATCATTGGTTGATTCCAGTATGTGTCCTGAACTGGGACGAAACCCACAACCGTGACATATCGGGATGATGCTCTAACCATTT